GAAGGAAACTCACCTCCGTGTGCCAAGGATCATCCCCAAGGACAGTAACTGCAAATCTGGGACAGGGCTTTGTGGCAGAGTGCCTGGTGCCCAGCTTGTAAAGATGACAGGCTAGGCATGTTCATCCTGGAGAAAAGAAGGCTCTGGAAGTCCTTGGGAGTCCTTTCCAGTGCCTAAAGGGGCTCTGAGAGAGCCAAAAAGGGGTTATTTACAAGGGTATGCAGTGACAGGACAAGGGGCTGGGGTTTTAAACTGCCAGAGGGCAGGGTTAGATGGGATACTGGGAAGGAATTCATCCTGTGAGGGTGGGGAGGCCTTGGCACAGGTTCCCCAGAGAAGCTGTGGCTGCACCATCCCTGGAAGTGTCCAAGGCCAGGCTGAACAACCTGGTTTAATGGAAGGTGTCCCTGCTCATGGCAGGGGTTGAGAACGAGATGGTCTTTAATGCCCCTTCCAATCCAAACCATTCTGGGATTCTACAGAAAGAGGAAGAAAAGCCATAGCACAAGGTGTTTAGTAATTGTGACTGTAAAGCAGCAGAAAGGAGAAATAAAGAATTAAAGTGAAGATTTAGATTAAGCTTCATCCTTGGCAACTGTACAGACAAGTCTGACTTGCCAAGGTTAAGATGAGCCTTTTTAGCTTCCTACATCTCTGCTATCCACTCATGAAAGGCAAAAGGAATTCTTTATCGGGCTCTGCTTTCGTGGCAGTGGAGGACACAGATGGAGACATCTCGCCCCCTGGTGGGTGAAGACACAACCTGCAGAAGCCTTGGTCTGCGTGGTATATTAAGAAATAATAATTAAAATTACTGGTTATTGGAAGGAAAAATAAAAGATATTCTAGAGGTTTTAAGTTCTGAAATTCAGAAAAAATTGATGAATTATGTATGTGATCACACACAACCCTCCCAGATAAGGCTGATGAGTTGAGGATCTGGAGCAATATGACAGAAAGGGATCAGAAAATCAACAAAACACCATGATGGAGAAATCTCTAAAACTGGGATCCCTAAATCTGGGAAGTAAATGTGCTGGGGTGTCTCTGGAGCATGTGTAGAGAACACCAGCAGTGTGGGGACTGGGCATGATGAGGCAGAGATCTGGGCGCATCTGCAGGGCCGTGATTTTGTTGGGATCAGGAAGGTGTGATGGGATGGCTCCCATGACCCGAGTGCTGCAACGGAGGAATACAGACAAACCAAAAAGGTCAGGAAAGGGAGCTGCCCTTTAGTGAGAGAGCAGCTGGAGTGCCTGGAATTCTGTGTGGATGATGAGCCACCAGAGATCTTAGAGGGGAAGGGTTCAAGGGATAACCAGTTTGGGTGATGTTGTACTGGGCCAGTTGCCTCTCTGCAAGCCCTGCTCCTCATGGGGGACTTCAGCCACCCTGATACCTGCTGGAAGGACAAGTAAAGGGGGATGGAGCATCTCTCCCAAGAGGAAATGCCAAGAGAATTGGGATTGTTCATCCTGGAAAAGAGAAGGCTTTGGGGTAACCTAATTGCAGTCTTCCAGTACCTGAAGGGAGCCTACAGGAAAGATGGAGAGGGACTATTTACAAAAACATGTAGTGACAGGACAAAGGGGAATGGCTTCAAAGTGAAGCCAGATTTAGATTGGGTATTAGGAAGAAATTATTTAGTGTGGGGTTGGTGAGGCCTTGACACTGGTTGTCCAGAGAAGCTCTGGATGCCCTATCCGTGGAAACATTCAAGGTCAAATTGGATGGAGCCCTGAGAAATGTGGTCTAGTGGAAGGTGTGCCTGGCCAGGGCAGGGGATTGGAATGAGATATCTTTAAGGTCTCTTCCAACCCAAATCCTTCTATGATTCTGTGATTTGCAGCCCAGGAGGTTTCTGGAATGCAGTGCTGGTAACTCCCTCCTCCAAGTGATGGAGGAGCCAACAAGGAGAGGCTCTTTGCTGGACATCAAACTCACCAGCCATGGTTTGCTGGAAATGTGGGGGTCAAAAGCAGAGCAGGCTGGTGGACTTCAGGATCCTGAAGGAAGGGAGGAGGGTAAACATCAAACACTAGCCTTCAGGCTTTGGCCTCTTCAAAAGCCTCTATCCGCTTAGTAGAGTCCCCTGGGATAAGCAGGCCTAGGAGGACTCCTCTCCAAGCTCAAGAACGGAGCAGGAAGCTGGGAAAAAATGCCAGCAAGCCTGCATGGATAAACAAGGAGCTCCTGGAAAAATTCAAACAGAGAAGCAGCAGAGAGAAGGTGAAAGCAAGGACATGGATAGAAAGGAATACAGAGATTATCTGAGCTTGTAGGAATGAGGAAAGGCAAAGTCCAACTGGAATTGTTCAGGAATGTCAAAGAAAATCAAAAGGGTTTCTACAGGGTGACAAAAGGGAGAGTAGGGGAAATGTTGTCGGCCCATTGCTCAGTAAGATGTGGGAACTGGCTACAGAGAACATGGAAAAGCCTTCTTCTCAGTCTTTACCAGTGAGATCAGCCTTCAGGAACCCCTGGTCCCTGAGAGCAGGGGAAGGGCTGGAGTAAGGAATATGTACCTTGGTGGAAGAGGATCAGGTCAGGCAATATTTAAAGGATTTTATGGGAGTGTAAAAATCAGGTAAATCCCTGAAGGGAAGTGGACAGGACAAGGCTGTGTGCTGGGTCCCAGGGCCAGGACCAGAGGGCACAGGCACACACTAGAACACGGGAGGTTCCTCTGAACATCAGGAAACACTTTTTTACTGTGAGGGTGGCTGAGCACTGGCGCAGGTTACCCAGAGAGGTGATGGAGTCTCCATCTTTGGATATATTCAAAATCCATCTGGACATGGACCTGGGCTACCAGCTCTGAGTGGCCCTGCTTGAGCTGAGGGTTAGACCAAGTGGCCCTCAGAGATCTTTTCCAAACTCAACCCCTCTGTGATTATGGATGATGAAATAAAATTTATCATCAGTGTAGGGCAGCTGTTCTGCACTTCCCTTGTGGAAAGGGAATGAAATCCAAAAGGTATTGTGAAACCTTGGAAGTGCTTTGAGTGCACAGATAAAACCACACCTTATTGTTCATTATTGTAATTATTATCTCTCTAATATATCCTCTCAGTAATTATTATCCCTATTTCTTTCTAATGACTCATAACCTTCTGTAGTTGTGCAGCTGTGCATTTGGGAATTTCACACCACACCAATTGTTTTGCTTTCACAGATTTTTTTTTCCACTAAAGTTTTTAAATAAAGATCAGTACAGTACAAAGCTTAAAATATTGTCAATGTTTTCAACAATACAAAGTCAGCAGGTGGGAGTTGGGAAGGGGATGGTTAATAAGGAACACTCATATCCTTCCCTGTTTCCCAAAGGAAAAAAAATACAAACTCTTTTGTACTTTTGTTTAGTAATGAACAGTGCTTAAAAATAATCTTGTCAGTAAAAGATGTAAATTGCAAGGCACATGAGGAACCCGTCCTTGCCTTGTTACACAAATTAGGCATAAATACAAATTGAAGGCACCTGTCTCCATCCTCCCCTCCTGCTCTGTACACTGAGCAAATCCTGTCAGTGGGAATTGGCTGGTAAGAGAGACCATGGACCATGGAGCAGACAGCAAAGAGGCTGCCCTTGATCCTCAGGTTCCTTCAGGATTAATCCCCAAAAGAAACAGTACAAGGCACACCCAAAAGAGACAGTACAAGGCACATTGGGATGAATTCTCAGGAGCTGTCCTGGCTTCCAAGATCTCAAGGAGCACTACCTCAGGACCAGAGATTCCTGACGGAGAGGACTGTGACCTCAGGGATCCTTGAGGGATCTCAGGTGTGCTCAACCTTTGGTGGTCAGCTCTTCACCAAGCCTGGCCACTGGTTTGTTCTTCCCAGGCATGCTTCCTTAGAACACCAGGATGGAGGAGACCTGCTCCAAGCACTGAGCCCAAGGAGAAGGTCCTGGGGACAAGCTGAGCATTTACCACAGCGGCACTTTGGCTTTCTCCAGATCCAGCCCTGGTGTCCTCTGGATCACTGGCAAAGCTTCCACAGCCACTTCCCAGCTGAAACTGCAGCATGTGGAGTCTGCCCAGGAAGGCAGCCAGGTGCATAAGGCACAAGGATGAAGGGAAGAAGGAAGCTGGTTGGAGGAAGAGGAGGATGGAGACAGAGAGGAAGGAAGCTCCAGTGTTGGTGAGCCCCTTGTGACACAAGGGTGCATCCTCACAGCAGCACAGATCTGTGTTGTAGATCCCAGCTCACTCCACCCATCATCGTAACCGGAGGTCAGCTCCAGGTGGGAGTGCAGGGCCACGCGGAGATGGGCACAGCTTCACCTGAGGGGAGATGTGGGAGTGTGCAAAAACACCTCCATTGCTACACCACTGCTCCACTGTCCACTTCTGCTCAGCCAGGGAGGAGAAGATATGATCAAAAGTACCTTGGGAGAGCCATGAGGGCTCCTCTCCCTGTCCCTGAAAGAGATGGAATTACCGTACTCACCCTGCTTCAACAAGGGCAGGGCATGTCATTTGTTTTCAAACCCTCAGAGAAGGGGACACCTGGGTGATCCCTTCCATTGGTACCAGTATAACTCCAGGTAGCAGCAGAGCAGGTTTGCTATTACCAGCCATGCCCAATCCTTCTTCATTTTATGTCAGAAACGAGCTCTGGACCAGCCCGATTTACCTCTGTTTCTGCACATGAACCTACTGATACCATCCAGCCAGTTCCACACCCAGTGCCGTGCTCTGCCTTACCCACCACAAAACCAAGGCAAATTAGGCTGTGAGAAAAAGCTGCTTGCGCTGGAAGCATTTTCTCAAACTCAGAGGAGACCCACAAACAAAGCCAGAAGCCATGGAGGGAGCAGTCCATCAGTGCAGCTGAGTGAGTTGAGCAGCCAGCTGCCATGCAAGGAGGAACTGCTGCTGGCCTCCACTCCAGTCCTTCCCTACCAGCAGCTGCATTGTTCAAGTGAGTTGGCTCAGATTTAAAACCAGCCGAAAATTATTGACATTTTTTCAGACTGGAAGCATTTTCTCAAATGGGAGGAGACCCACAAACAAAGCCAGAAGCCATGGAGGGAGCAGTCCATCAGTGCAGCTGAGTGAGCTGAGCAGCCAGCTGCCATGCAAGGAGGAACTGCTGCTGGCCTCCACTCCAGTCCTTCCCTACCAGCAGCTGCATTGTTCAAGTGAGTTGGCTCAGATTTAAAACCAGCCGAAAATTATTGACATTTTTTCAGTAGGATTGGTTTCCCAAAGGTCCCTCTCCCGGCACTGGCTCACTCCGTAGTGAGATGAACTTCTGTGCATGGGAAGAGGTTTAACGAGGTGCCTGTGGGACCACCCCTGCTTGGCATCTCCCCTGAGGCAGATTTTCTGCTAGGTCAGCATGGCTGTACCATCTGTACCATCAAAAACACCCTATGAAATCAAGTAATTAATTTCTAAGCTGAGGCCAGGACTGATGAGAAAGGGTGGAGTTGATGACCTCCTGAAGGCTTTCCTATGACTTCTTCTCCTATACTCCAAACTTACTTCCTTCTCCCTTTGTATTTAATTTTCTATAGGGTCATGAGTCCCAAATTTACCTACTAAACACAGGACCAGCAAAGTGCCAATCTACAGATCTGTTTTCCACCACCTATTAACAAATCTGCTGTCCAGCCCACCTTGCTCCTCCAGAAAGACAGCACTGTTTCCTTCAAGTTAATCTTAACCCAGCTAGGAGGCTCTGCACATATAAAATCCCAAGGCAAAGCCTTTCTGGATAACAAATCCCATGCACATGCATGGAACATGAACACACACACCTCAAGAGCTGAAACAGAGATAAGTGCAGAAATCAGTGCTTGTCCTCACCAACCATACCCCCAACCCTACACTCTGCCTGCTCAGAACCAGCAATCACAATTCATTTGCCTGCCCTTGGGCTCAATGAGACAAATCCATGGCTGGGATAGGTCCCGTGGATTCCTTGGTTTTAGCAAGGATTTAATCCTCCTTGGTGGCTCCATGTTCAATATTCCCCCAAGGCAAGCACAGAATAGGTTCTTCTAGTGGGGGACACAGCAATCCAGCCGTTGTTACCTTGGATAGGAGTGACCCATGGACATTAAGTGACCCTGACCGCTCTCTTTGCCATTCCACACAGGAATCACCAAGTCCCAAGGACAAACCCATCCCGAGGTTGTGCAGGACCCTAATGTCATCACCCTGCTCCTGCCTTTTGCTGCTCCATCTTCATTTAATACTGATAAAAACATGGCAGAGTCACAGCCCCACTGGTCATAGAACAGCAAGCCTGCAGCTCCAAGGTCAGCTTTCCCACAATGCTCACCAAGGACACAAAGCACCATTAAGAGGGGAATAAAGACTCCTTCACCTTCACACCCTTTTGGCCGTGACCACAGTAGTGTTGTTGGAGGAGCAGAGCCTTTCCTGTACCAAACAGATCCCATCCAAGTTACTCCACATTTCATGGACATTGCTAGAGGTTGGTCAGACTCCCTAGACAGATGACACAGACCTAGTTTGTCCCAGAGGATGCCAGGTCAGGCCAGGATCTCCAAAGATGTTTTCACAAAGCCACCTAAGCAACCTGGCATTGACACCCTTGAAAAGGGGAGCACAGAGAAAACCTGGCTGGAACAGGAAAAGGATTCTAGCAGCCATGGTGCCACATGTGCCCTCACACCTGAACCCTAGAAACACAGACTTCCCAAAACCTTCCTACTGCCTTTGACAGGAACAGTTCTCACACAGATACGGCCAAACCCAGAGAGGTCATCACATCCAGCTGTGGTCCTCAAGGTGTTGTGAGCCCTGGCACACCCTTCTACAGTCCCACAGCCTCCAGGCTGCCCTCCCTGACCTTCAGCAAGGTCTCACCCACAGCTCTACCAGCTTGAACAAGGAACCTCTGCCTATTTCAGCATCCTTGGTTCAGTGACTTGTTCTGGCTTAAAACACTCCATGTCCCCCCCTGGATGGCAAAAGGCAATCCCTGCTGTGAAAATGCATCCAGCATGAAGTGTCCAGCCCTCCATCTGAATCCAGGGTCCTGGTTAGTCACGGCGTGTTAGGCAGGTAAGACAGTCATGTCTCTAGTATGTTACGCCCTTTTTCTTGATTTTCTCTGGTCATGTCATGCCTGTCACGTCCGTGACTCTCAGGAGTCCTTTTTAGCCAGGATGGCCTTGATCCTGCATCGCAGGATGTAAGCTGTGATGGCACTACAGGCCACCAAGCCAAAAAATGAGATGCAGGAGAGATAAACAGTAAAAGGCCCATGTCTCTTCAGGAAAATCTCCTGCCTGTTCTTGTAATCCAAAAGAATGGCCTCCAGCTGTGAAAGGGTGCAGATGGCCAGGAAGGTGTGGAAGATCTGGTGGGCATGGCCAACAATATCACAGGAGCCAGGGAAGTATTTCTCAGGGACAGGGCAGGAAAAGAAATAAGCACTGATAAGGAAAAACAGTATCTGGTACGTGTGGTACCAAGCAGCATCCTCCTCACAGCCCCCCAGGTGACACACAACCACCCGGTGAGCCACGGGACTGATATCCAGGATGAAAGCCAGCCCTGCTGGGATCACCTGGCACATCTTCCTCATGATGGGGTAAGGCCGTCGGTACCGGTATTTGGCGTAGCAGCAGCCGGCACAGGACAACCAGCCGCAGAAAGCTGCTGCTGGCAGGAAGAAAAGCCAGAACTTGTCGTACCAGGCTTGGTCAGAGCTGTAGTAGAAATGAGCCAGGGCACTGCCATACTGGTAGATGCTGACTCCAACATAGTCCACGAAGTAGAAGGTGTAGTGGTACAGCTCCGACTTGGACTGCAGCAGGTGGGCCAAGAGGCTGCAGGTCAGGTAGGTGACAGAGGAGAGGACAAAGATGAGCAACGGCAAGGACCACGCGTCCACAGGCAACTGCTCGGCCTCCACAAACGTCTTGAACCTCAGCAGCACGGCCAGCGCCGCCAGGAGATGAGTCCACACGTTGACCACCTCGTTGTGCTTCTGGAAGAGGCTGAGGAAGTAGTAGCGCCAGTCCTGGCCGGTGGGGCGGTACCCGCTGTGGATGTAGGGCTCGCGGAAGAGCTGCGGCACCTCGCACTCCTTCACCGTGCAGGGCATCTTGGGGAGGCCGTCCTCCAGCAGCCGGGGCAGCCGGCTGAGGTGCTGCCCGCTGAGGGACAGCGTGCTGAGCCGCTCCAGGATGGCTGTCATCCTTCAGCCCCGTGCCAGGGAACGTCGTCTTCCTGCCCTGTGGGGATGGGAGAAAGAGGAAATGTTAATGGTGGTGCACCGGGGAGAAGAGCATGCTGGCATTCCCAGTGGGATTAACCATGGCACCATGGAGATGCTGGCTCTTAGAGCACCTTCCAGTGCCTAAAGGGGCTCCAGAACTGGAGAAGGACTTGGGACAAGGGCCTGGAAGGACAGGACAAAGGGCAGTGGCTTCCCACTGCCAGAGGGCAGGGATACATGGGATATTGGGACAGAATTCTTCCCTGTGAAGCCCTGGCACAGGTTTCCCAGAGAAGCTGTGGCTGCCCCTGGATCCCTGGAAGTGTCCAAGGCCAGGCTGGCCGGGGCTTGGAGCAGCCTGAGATAGTGGACGGTGTCCCTGCCCATGGCAGGGTGTTGGGTCAAGATGGTCTTTCAGGTCCCTTCTAACCAAATCCACTCCATGATTCCATCAATATTGTCACGTTTAGGGCTACCAGATCTCCTGGGGAGTTAAAGAAGGGTCTGAGGGAGTACCAGATTCCCAGGGATATCTGATCCCTGACCTAAATTCAGAGGGGGATGGCAGAGCCCTGTCCCTGCAGGTCTGCCTGCATCAGATTGGCACAGCAATGTCACAAGCCTGCCCTTCCTCCCCACTTCCTCAGGCACTCAACTTGGAGCATGTTCAGGAGCCACAAGCTGCCAACAAGAGGCTGCAGGAAGCAGTTACTTGGCAAGAAAGCATCTGATGATTTATGAAGGTGATTTTTCACCCCTTACCCCAGAACAAAATGCTCAAGGACAAAACTAGGATGTAAATGACTCATCTAAGGGATAAACAGCCTGTCCGCACATGAGTTAAGAGGGTTCCAACCAAATCATTGAGGCTGCAAAGAAACTCAACCTTCCCTGTCACACAACTTGCCCGTGGATTGCTGTAGTGAGTATGGCAGAGGGAGAAGTGGAGAAATCCACAGTCCCAAACCTGCATCCCTCATCCCTCCACAAGTAAGAAGCATCAGGACTGAGAGGGACTGAAGAAATGAGAGGCTTCACATCCAAGCTGGCTGCAGTTTGGGTACAGCATCAGAGCTTTGGGAGCACCCATAGAGCCAATGCTGAGGGACTGCCAGAGACGTCCCTGGATGCTCACAGCAGCCAAACCCCGTGCTGGGCACTCCTCTGCCTGCTCTGCTCTTTGGTAACCTCCAGACTTGCTAAGCTCTGGCTGGCAAGAATCAGATTCAGGGCACAGCAGGATCCTAATGTGTGGAGAACAACTCTTGGCATTAAATTAATTCCCAATATCCCCTGTTTCCCAATAACCTAGATACTGCTCTTCCCTGCTGGTGTTTGTGTCATACAAAATAGAGGAGAATTCATCACAACTGCCCGTGTTAAACTGAAACTGGTGCTGATGGGGCCCCACCAGACTGTGCAGGGCTGTGGTTACTCCTGTGAAACCAACACACACAGGTTTGCAGGAGCAGAATCTGTCTCCTAAGCTTATATGCACACAACTGGAGGTAAGGGGATGGAGGTAGCAAAAAAAAATAAATAAAAAGGAAACACAAATAAGTGTTTTGTCTGGGTGTGGAAAACAGCCAATTTTTCTCCTGTTGCAATTTTTCTCCTACTAGCTGTGTCCAGAGGTGAGACACCAGTAGTTTGTGTGGGTACCTGGTCTACTGAAGGTGTCCCTGCCCGTGGCAGGGGGCTGGAAGTAGAGGAGCTTTAGGATCCCTTCCAACCCAAACCAGTCTGTGATTCCATGATGGGAGACCCCTGCTAGGCTGTGACACAGAGAACAGGACAGTGTTAAACACCATGAGAGAGTTTCTGAAAGCAAGGAGGTGGGACCTGGCAGTCTCAGGGTGAGACAGCACAAAGAGCAAAGTCAGAGCAGATTCTCAACCAGGCAGCAAGTCTCACTTCCTGTAGAAACCCAAAGCATCTGATAAGAAACAAAATATTTTTATGTTGCTTCTGTATTCTAGCAGAGGGGAGCTATCATAATTAGGTGTCATTTTCCAGAAAATTCTTTCTGCCCTACACTGTCTTGGCTTTCTCTCTTAGCATCTCTCAAGGCTGGAGGTTTTTTTTCTTTCTTTACCACAGGGGATTTTGTCCGCTGTGTTTGATGGAGCTGCCTTAGCCACAGAAGGCAAAATGGTCCCTGTTTTAGTTTCACAGATATGTAATGCTGAAAAGAGCACACTTGCTGGGCAGTTAATGTTGTGCACACTCATAAAGACTTTGTTTCTCTCCTAAGGGTCTGCAGGGTCCTAATCCATAATGGGACATGCAGTTCATTCAGCAGGCTGTGTATCCCTGTGGAGTTACATGCCAAAATCTAGGGAGGCGAGGCAAATTTTGGCTTTGGGGCAGTCCTATGAGAGCAAGGTGTAAACAGGAAGCAACACTCACTCTGCCTTGTTCCAAAGCACAGCCAGTCTATTCTGGCATCTTGTGCTAGTGGAACTCATTCATAAATCAAGGAATTGTGGAGTGCTTCAGATGGAAGGGATCTTGAAGAACACCTCATTCCAACCTCCTGCCACAGGCAGGGACACCTTTCACTATCCCAGGTTGCTCCAAGCCCCATTCAACCTTGGACACTTCCAGGGATGGAGCAACAACCGCTTCTCTGGGTAACCTATGCCATGGCCTCACCAACATCACAGGAAAGAATTTTTTCCTGCCCATGGCAGAGGAGTTGGAACAAAATGATCTTTCCAACCCAGACCATTCTGGGATTCTATGATTCAATGATCATGACGGTGAGGCAGAAGAAAGGACAATGCTGAAGTTCACTACATCTTGGGAGAGCAGAGAGTAATGAGAGAGTGAACAGGTTCTGTTCCAGCACAAGAGGAACTGAAAACCTCCGAGAGGGCACAGCTGCAAGCATAGGTCAAAAGGGCACAGACCTGCAGAGAGCAGAGCTGGTGCTCATCTCCTGTGGAAAAATGCATGTAAAGAGCATGGGAAGGTGGCAATTGAGCCTGGGAATAGGAATGTATGGGAATGCAGTCCATGGCCTGCCTGCTTTGCATGCTGACAAGGGTGTGAGAGAGACAGGCAGCTTCTGTCCCAGGCACAGCCTGGCTCTGGCTTGCACCACTCGTACTCATGCCAGGATTTTGCCAAGGTCTCTCATCCCCAGAGCTCAGTGCATGCAGCAAGCATCACCTCAGAGAACCTGGGCACTGCACAACTCCCTGACAGCACAGATTATTCCAGGCAGGCTTTCAGAGCTGGAAAATGCCAGTTTTAAACAGGCTGTGAGAGACAGAGATTTTCAAAATAATAGTCCGAAATCACACGAAACACATCTGATACTGGGCTGAAAAACGCTAAATCAGGAACCTGGTACCCTGCTTATTTCAAACCCTGTGATATGAGTGAGTGAGCACAAGTTGGCAGCTTCCAGCGATCATGTGATGGGACAAAGTGACGAGCAATTAACGTTAGAAAAGAGAGAGAAAGAGGAAAAAAAAACCAAAAAAACAACAAAAAACACCAACCCAGAAACCCAAGGTCAGCACTGGCTGTTTCACTTTCACAGAGCCCCTATTCTTTTCCCTTCACGGGGGTGTAGGAGCAGCTGAAAGCCACATTCATCGGCGGGGTGTCTCGTTGAGATTCCGTCCTCACTCCCATCTCCGGGGGATTCAGTTATTTTGGCTGCTCCCAATTAACAGCAACCAAGTATCGTTTGTTCAGGGAGGGAGCTGCAAGGCGAGAAGGAGGGCGTGGATGATGGCCAGGCTGGATCATGACATCCACAATAAAAACTCCCCGCACAGGAGGAGAACGATCCTGTTCCAATTTTTCTCTCCCTTTTGAAGAGGGTAATTGGAAACCCGAGCTTTTTCCCAGCTCTTTTGCTTTTTGGTCACAGTCTGATGGAAGGGTTTGAATGAGAAAATTTCCTACAGAGTACGGTCGATTTTTCCCACCAGTCTGGCCCCCAAGTTCACTGTCTGGGATTGAGGCTGGACCAATGTGATAGATTTGCTTGCAGGCTGGTATTCAGGCATCAGAGGTTTACACAGGCTTCCAAAAAGGCAGTAATTCCTGGTAAACAAAGCAGGGAGGACTGGGGGTACTCAGCTTGGGGGAAGTCTTTAATAAATGCATGGCATTTAAAACAAGAAACAAAAAAAAAGAAGTAGTGGTTGTGGACAGCATGAAAATAACAGCAGTGGCCAACAGATTGGTTTGGAGAGCTGCAGGTGATTAATGCCTGATTTCCTCTCTTCTGGCAGTTAAGCAAAAATCCCAGGGGGAACTCCAGGTCATTTTGAAGCTTTTGGGGTTTTATTGTGACCCATTCCTACATGGGGTTAACTTTGGTGTCACAGCTCCCAGTGCACCAGGATGGCAGGGAGCAGTTCAGCTCTGGGAGAGGCTGCACCAGGGCTGCACCTGGCTCAGATGCACTGGATAAGACCCATTCTAAACCCTGTTTTCTAAAGGCTGGTCCTCCCTGAACACAAACAGCTCCTCCTGTAACTAAACCATTCTGAAGAGCTGGAGAAAACTTTGAAAGACTATCCTGGGAGCAGAGTGCCAGCTCCTCCATCCTATTCTTGCCCCTTGTTTTGGAAAGGCCCCTCCAGAGCTGAGAAAATGAGACCATGGACTGGCTCAAGAAGCAGTTCCAGTGCAGTCTTGGTATTACCTGCTTCCTTCTCCTGCCAAAGATTTAGGTGCCAACATTGCTCCAGAGTGCAGCAGAAACACCCAGAGCTCAGATCCCTTCTGTGGGGAGTTACTGGGATTTACATGGGATTTACAACCAGCACAGGTCCCTCAGAGGGATGTGGATGGACCTCTGGAAGTGTCCAAGGCCAGGCTGAATGGAGCTTGGAGCAAGCTGGGATAGTGGAAGATGTCCTTGCCCATGGCAGGGGGGTTGCCCTGGGTAAGACTTAATGTCCCTCCCAACCCAAACCACTCTGTGATTCCATGATTTGACGGTTTGTGCCATGTGCCAGGGCAGGCAGCAGGGTGTGAAGGATTTATCTACACTCCAGCATCAAAGAAGTGGAAATCCCCACAACCAGAGAGGGGCCAGGTGCCTGGGGCTTCTGTAAACTGGGCTTACACTTCCCCATCTAGGAAATCCGGGGATATCAGTCCTCATCTGCCTGATGGAAATGAGATATCGTGCTCCTAATGCACTGGGCAGTGCTGGGACTACTTAACAGTGCCTTGCACAGAAGATTTTATTTCCATCAAGGCCCTGTTAGATCTACATCAGCCCAATTCCTGTTATTCTTCCAACAGGAACCTGCACAGGTTGGGATGCTCTGGAAGGTAAAAAGGATTTCCTGAAAGGCACGACTTAAAACAACCTGATCTCTTCAGAAAAAAGGTCAAAATAACCTCGTGGTAAATTTCAAATAAAAGAACATGGCTCAAATTCTCCCCTTCCCTATACACACACACACAGCATGCAGCCCAAGCAGGGTTTGTCCAAGCTTGTATCCCTCAGGAAACGAACATCCCGTGATGCCGGGAGACGAGCCACGAAAGCCAGTGGGAGGTGGCAGGATCCCCCACGGAAGCCACGGCAGTGTCAGCTCCCCTGCAATTCCTGGCCTGGCAGCGAGCTGGGCCAGCAGCCAGCTCAGCCGTGCTGGGCAGCAAGTGCCTCTTGACATGGGCTCAGCGTTGCCTGAGCTTTGGGATGGGGCCAGGGGATGAGAGCAGTGGAGCCAGCACAGGGAACGCTGTGCTTGGAGGGCACAGAGCGAAAACAAAGCTGCTGGCAAATGCATCCTAACAAGGGGGGGCACCCCTGAAGCCCTGTGGTGTTTGGGGGAGCAAAGCAGGGGAATGGAACCCCAATGTTAGGAAACCAAAGGTTGGATGAGGCTGGTGGCTTTGCGTGAGAATCCAAGCATCATGTGCCAAGGTGGGGGTTGATTTTCACAACATCAGGTTCTCAGAGATCAGCGGGGCTGGCTTGGCCATTCCCGTGCTGCTGCACCCCTCAAATGGGGGGTGCACACACAAACTGTCAGCCAGGAACAACTCCTGGACTGTGCTATCTCCCAAACCATGTTAGGGAACGGCACAGTTCTGGTTTGCTGTGATAGCACAGCTGCAGTTTCCTCATGCCTAACCTGGGTTAGAGCTTGGTGATGCTGCTGATAACACAGCCAATAGTTCCTGAAAAAAAAAAGAAAAAGAAAAGAAAACCACCTCCAGAATTCACTAATTCTGCTCACAGATCCTGACTGAGAATTCCCTCCTCTGGCAAATCCACTCCCTCTGTATCAAAATTTGCTCAAGGGCAAGGTAATATTTTGCAGCTTTTTTTTCCTGACCTCGCTAATCCTTTGCTGTTTGTGCTTTCCTGATCCCCTCACCACTTTCTTTTCCCACACAAAACCAACACAGCACCCGATGCTTTGGGGCTGGATTTCAGGTGGCTGTGAAATCCCAGGATGAGTACACCAGGAATCAAACCAGACTGGGAAATAGTCCCAAACTATAACCATCAGGTTGTTGAAGTGTCAGCACATCCCTGGGCATGGTTTTGGTCCTGCCACCCCCACCAGTCCCTGCCTGCTGTATTCAGCCATGCAAGGATCACTGATGGACTGGGACTGACTCTTTCCAGAAACTGGAACTGTGCCAGAAAAGTGCCTGGAGGTTTTCCCCCTGCACCGACTGAAAAAGAAGCCTGGATTTGTCACAGCAGCATCCCACTTTCACCTCCCAAACTTCCTTTAGCACTAATCTTCCTTCAGTGCAGATCTAGAACTGGGAACTCCTGCTAGCACAGGGAAACCTCTACAAGCCAGCCAATCCCTCCCTGCTCAGATCCATCTGCTGACGGGACAACCCTGGAATCATCTGCCTGTGGGCAGAGCAACCAAACCAAACTGGCCATGTGCTGTTTGTCTTGAACATCATCCCCAAAAAACCTCTGGGCTGAGGCTGCTCAGTTTTGCTGTCATCCACAAAAGCCTCTTGCACAAAAGCAATTTTTTTTAAGGCTGCGGATTTGAGAGCTTTGGTCACTAGAAAAAAATGTATATAAATCATGCAGAGCCCTGCGGCTGCTGCGGGCAGAGAGGAGGCACTGCCAGGGAGAGACTGCAGCCCTGTGCCAACCCCGTGGAGCTGTGGGCTCTCCTCTCCCCTGCAATACAAGTCTTTGTCCCCATCCTGGACCTCGTCCCATTTAACCCCATGGCTTCTCCCAGCCAGGTTCTGGGTTTGCAGTGACAGAAGTGATGTAGCCTCCTTTCTGGAGGCTACAAAGCTCCAAGGAAGAGCCAGACGGCAGATTCCCTCCACAAAAGGCATGCAGGCTGTGCTGCATTCACTTGCTTAGAATCCTACTCAATCCCAAGGATTTGGTGGGGCTTGGAGGGTGGGCAGGAGATGGGAGCAAGCTTCCCCTTACTACCTGGAAGTGTCCAAGGCCAGGTTGGATGGGCCTTGGAGCAACCTGGTCTAGTAGAAGGTGTCCCTGTCCATGGCAGGGAGTTGGAACTGAACTATCTTTAATGTCCCTTCCAACCCAAACCATTCCATGATGCTTTGAAGGATGAAGCTTACAAGGTATGGCATCTGTACAGCTGCAGCCTCCAGCAGCTTCCCTGGGTATTTATTCTTCTGAAATTTACTAATGATTAATTGTTTATACAATTAAAGGGCCACTGGTCTGACCCCACGAGCAAGGGTTACCCTGTAAACTGGCAGATAAAAAATTAACTGGTGCCTGACTCAAGATGTGCAAGTAGCTGCAAGCTCATGCACGTGACCTGGTGGTGGCACCTCCCTTGTCCCCAGCCTCTCTGGCACGGCCATCCCTCCCTGCCATCCCTCCCTGCATCCACAGGGACACAGCCCTCGGCTCGGCCACCGGCTGCGGCTGCAGCTTCAGCGTAAACAAATAAATGCAATTAATGTCCAGGAAATAGAAAATCCTGTGGGGTGCAGGGCTGTTAACCCACACCTTCCCCAGCTGCGGGGGAGGGAATGTGCAATTGTGTGGTTTGGCCTGACGAGCCCTGAGTGGGGTTTTAGGAACTGTTTGCAGCACATATCACCACAGCACCCCAAGGCAGGCACAGTCTGCTGCTAGAATTCAGAATTCATGGCTGCCTGTCCTCTCCCTGCCCTGGCAGAGGGCAAAACAAGACTTCAGACCCGCTGGATTAATCTTTTTTCATGACCTTTCCGTAACTTTGCTCTTTTTCAACGACTGTTGCCAGGGAAGCATTACAGTCCTCATCCTAATCTGCAGCAAGCCATCCTAGAATCCCAAAATGTTTTTGGGTTGGAAAGGACCTTAAAGCTCATCTTGTTCCAACCTCCCTGCCATGGGCAGGGCACCTTCCACAAGATCAGGTTGCTCCAAGCCTCATCCCACCCAAAAATCCTCCAAACAGCGATATTTAAATCATTTCCCAGCTCTGAAGCCACAATCCCACAACAAGTGCACCTCTCCATCCCAATAAAAACCTGCATGCCCCTATGTGTCACCTTGGCACAGCTACTGGGATGCTCCATACCCAACCCTGCTCATGCCAGGAAGGAATTGGTTTGGCACCAAACAAACAACTGTTAAATGTTTACCTGAACTTATATATCTATATATTTGTGTTCAAGACAAGCAGAACGCTTTAAGACTGTCCACAATATTTCCCTCCCCGCCCCTGGGGGAAAAAAAAAAAAATAAAAGAAAAAAGTGAGATGATTGTGATGTTTTTAGCCAGGAAAACAATCTAGATGAGATATAGGGGGGACATGACCCCGAAGTGTCCCGGGGAAGACCAGCAGGGAACAAACCTTCGGTGACCCTTTGGAGACGCGCCCCAGCTCGTGTCTGCGCAAGGAGCAGGCGGCAGCTCCAAGGCAAACACCGGGAGCTGATGCTTCTCCCAGCTCACGGCTGAACTATGCATCGCCTTCCCGGGGCCTCCAGAGCTCCCCGGGTGTCTAAGTCATTAAAGGAAAATCCGCCCACAGCCATTTCAAACAAACACGGAGGAAAACCACTGCCCACCTCTCTCCTTCAGGAAGCCCTTGAGATACCGGTAACGGGGGAATTTAAGGCAAAATCCGTGTCTCCTGCTCATCCCTCCCATCCTTAAACTCTTCCCCAGCACCCACCTGACCACTGCAGGATGGGTGAACCACAACTGTGCGTGGCACAGGGGGGAAGGTCCCGCATACCCCCGCACCCCAGGGGGGTCTGCAAGCACCACACCGGGCACCCCCCGCTCCCATCCCGGCATCCCGCTCCCCCCGCAGGGAACGATGCTCCCGGCGCGGCGGGGACGCAGCAGCGCACCGGGAACTCGCCGGGGACCCCCGGGTGTCCCGGGGGGAGAGGAGGGGACCGCAGGGAGGGGACCGCCCGCAGTGTCAGCTCTCAGTGCCCGCACTCAGTGCCTGCTCTCCGTCTGCCGCACTCCATGCCCACACTCACCTACCGCACTCGCCCCCTGCAGTCAGTGTCGGCTCTCCCGTCCCGCACTCACCGCGCTCAGTGCCCGCTCTCGGTGTCCCCTCGGTGTCCCCTCGGTGCCCGCTGTCCCCTCCCCTGTCCCGCTGCCGCCGCCGAGTCCCGGCGCCGCCGCCTCCGGGAGCCCCCGCGGCCGCCCCGCGCATGCGCGCCCCGCCCCGCCCCGGGGAGGCCCCGCGGGCCGAGCCCGGCCCAGCCCGGCCCGTACTGTACCAAGCCCGGCTCAAAGCCCGGCTCAAACCCACGGCACCACCCTGATCCCGTCACCCTAGGAGCAGGTGCGGAGGAGAGGCCGGTGACACATCCGTGAGAAGGGTGTAAAGTCACAGAATCGTTCAGGTTGGGTGAGATCTCCGAGGTCATCGAGTCCCACCTGTGGCACTGAGTGCCACCTCCTGTTGTTCCTTGGACACCTCCAGGGAGGGGGACTCCAGCAGCTCCTGGGCAGCCCCTGCCAATGTCTGACCACCCTTCCCGTGAAGAAGTTCTGCCTCATGTCCAGCCTGAACGTCCTTTGGCCACGGCTTGAGGTTCTGTCCCTGATCCTGTCCCTGTTCCCTGGGAGCAGAGCTGGAACCTCCCCTGGCTGTCCCCTCCTGTCAGGAGTTGTGCAGAGCCACAAGGTCCCCCCGAGCCTCCTTTTCTCCACACTGAGCCCCCCAGCTCCCTCAGCTGCTCCTCACAGGATTTCCAAGTCGCTGCAAGGTGGATGGGGATGGGAAGGGACCTTTGGAGGTCACCTGGTTCAGCCCCAGAGATCACTGTCAAAGATGAAAATTCTATACTTAAAGTAAAAATCAGAGGACAGGGGCTAAGGGCACCCACTGAAGCACAGGAGATTCCTCTGAACACCAGGAAACACTTTTTTACTGTGAGGCCAAGAATTGCACAGGTTGCTCAGCAAAAGGTACCTCCATCCTTTGAGATATTTAAAATCCATCTGGACATGGACCTGGGCAACCTGCTCTGTGTGGTCCTAAATGAGCAAGGGGGCTGGACCAGATGACTTCCATGGAGTGGGGAGGAACCCCCTGATTTCAGTGCTGTGGACATGCAAGTGTGGAGGAGCAAATGATTATCTACAAGATTTCCAGGCTAAAGTCAGTATGGCCTCGAGCCAGCTGCCAGCACCAAAATCTTTGGGCTCCAAAAACCAGGCATTTGCACCCAAACAGCCTTTCAGGAGCAGCCTCTGGGCTCCTGAGCTGTGTCTGGGAAATGTGTGGGGGAGGCTGATGGATCCTGCATGGAGCTGTGCCAAAGCCAAGTGGTGGGTTCAGCTGTAGGGTCACTGTGACCCCAGGAGCAGGTTAATTTATGAGTTACAGAGTTTGCCTTCTCCAGGCTCTGCCTCAGCTGGTTTATGCAGATTCTGCTGCTCCAGCCTGTCAGATCCGCTGTTTTTGATGAGTTTATGAGGAAAACAGAAGGACTGCTTGTTCTGCAGGGAGAGGACCCACAGAGAGGCAGCCCAGGAATGCGACTTTGTGGCTCTGATAAGATCTCTGCAGCCTGGGTGAAGGTTCAGCACATGCCAGGACAAATCTCACAGCATGTGGGAGAGCCAGTGCCCCCATTGTGAGGAGGGAAAATACCCAGGGTGAAGAAGGTAGGAAGGAACCTCAGTTTTACCCTGCCCTTGCACTCAGGGATGTGAAAGAGATACAACTGGCAGCTACCAACCCCCCCAGTGACATCTTGAGCTGGTTTTCTGTCCCTCTAAGACATCTCCTGAAGGACCCATAATACTGCACCATCCTCCTGCTCCATTCCTGAAGCTGGGAGGGGATTCTGCCCCTCTGCTTCTTTCTGGTCAGACCCCACCTTCAAAGCTGCTCCAGCCCTGGGGCCAACAGCAAAAAGACATGGAGCTGCTGGAGAGAGTCCAGAGGAATCCACAGAGATGCTCCAAGGGCTGGAGCCCCTCTGCTCTGCAGCCAGGCTGGGAGAGCTGGGGGTGTTCACCTGGAGAAGGATCCAGGGAGACCTGACAGCCCTTTCCAGAGCCTAAAGGGGCTCCAGGAGAGCTGGAGAGGGACTGGGGACAGGGGATGGAGGGACAGGACGAGGGACAATGGGCAATAGAGGGCATAGGAGGCAGGACATAAAATACAACCCAGGCAGATGGGGATGGTAGTGGGTGACATCCCTGCTGCAACATGGACACTGCAATGCTGCCAGGCCACCTGCACCTATTTTACCCCAGTGAAAGGTTTTTTACCTCATGTAACTTCAAGGCATGTCCAGGGCAGCCATGGGAATTGCAGAGGGCAGCTCTGTGTGGGATAACTGCTCTCCTGGGAGGTGCTGACAGCCTGTTCTGCACCCCAAGCCTGGTGGATGCTGCCCAGTGAGATCTCTTTGATGACTGGCTCTCAGGTGAGTGGTACCAAGCCATGCTGTGTAGTTCATCTCTAACTTACCCTGTTACTCCCTGCCACTGACATTTTAAACCCTGGAATGAATCACCCAGCTCCCTCCAAGTCAAAACCAGGTGTGGTTGTGTTTGCTCGCCAGATTAGTCCCACAGTTAAAACTGGGTTGTACCAAGCTGAGCTCTCCCTACCCTCTACACTCATCTGATAGTATTCAAACACACTTTGTGCCCTCAAACATGTCCTGAATGCCTTAATTCCCCACCCAAATGTGAATCATAGAATGGTTTGGGTTGGAAGGGACCTGCAAAAGCTTGTTCTGTTATTTTAGGTGCTCAGAGTTATTACTCAAAAAAAGGATCTTCTTTTGTGGATCAGGGTCTCCCTCCATCAAAAGTATCCACACACACCATGTCCACACTGTGCTGCTGAGGAGCAACCTAGCAGCTTTGCACCAAAGACAACTGAGGTATTCCAAGCACCAAAGTTACCTTTCCCCTGTATTTGCCTGTAATAAAGAATAATGACTTGTTGTTATTGCAGCAGAGTAAAAGAGAAATTTTTTTTGCCCTGTCTGTGCCCATACGGAACTCCTTCCCACTGGGCAAGGATTTATGCTCATCATACATTTGTTTTAAATAAAAATTCTGCAGATGCAAAATTAGAACACTAAGAAGACATTAGACCACTAAGGCTTTCTTTAACTAATAATTCAAGAAAAAAAAATAATAAAAGCCCCGGGTTACCAAGTTCAGCCTCTGCAATCAGAAAGAAGCACTTGATACAGTTAATTTTGGCACCATCAGCTGTTCCCCACGTGCTGCACAAGGATTGTGTAGCAATTTGGGGTCGGGACTTTCCTGCCTCCTCGTGGTTTGCCCGCAGCAGTGACAGCCCATTGTGACAGTCCGATGTGAGTTACTAATGTGCCTTACACGGCGTGCTGCAACCTCCCAGCTTCCCAGCAGGGCGGGGAATGGATCCAGAGCAGCCCTGGGGAGAAGAATTTGGGGGTGCTGGTGGGTGAGAGCTGGGCATGACCCATCCCTGAAACCCCCCAAGTCCTGGGGCAGCGGGGGAGGGGGGATTCTGCCCCTCTCAGGTGAGACCCCACCTGCAGAGCTGCTCCAGCCCTGGGACCAACAGCAGGAGGATGTGGGGCTGCTGGAGAGAGACCAGAGGAGGCCACGGAAATGCTCCAAGGGCTGGAGCCCCTCTGCTCTGGAGCCAGGCTGGCAGAGCTGGGAGTGTTCACCTGGAGAGGAGAAGGATCCAGGGAGAGCTCAGAGCCCCTTCCAGAGCCTAAAGGGACTCCAGGAGAGCTGAAAAAATTACTTGGGACAAGGGATGGAGGGACAGGACAAGGGGGAATGAATGAAAAAAGGGAAGGGTTAGATTAGATACTTGGAATAAATTCTTTATAATAAGGGTGATGTACTCTGGAAGTGTCCAGGGCCAGTGGACGGGACTTGGAGCAGCCTGGGATAGTGGAAGGTGTCCCTGCCCATGGCAGAGGGTGGAACTGGATGTTCTTTTAGGTACCTTCCAGCCCAAACAGTTCTGTGATTCCGTGATTCTAAAGCTGGACATCACTTGCTGAAATAACCAGTGGGTCCTGCCCCAGGGCTGAAAGCAGCTCCCAGAGATCCTGAGGAAGAGGCAGAGATGTTTTGCATACAAATGGATGATTCCCAGCCTTGAGGGTGGAGAAAATGAGAGAATAGGAAAAAAAAAAATGGGGAACCAGCTGTCACTGTCTTTAGTAACAGCCAGAAGTCATGAGAGCAGATGAGGAGACCAAAATAGCAACACCAAACCTCAGCTCTGTGTCTGGACCCTTCAGATTTCCCTGCAAATGTGGTTGGGTTGTCCAGTTCCAAAGCTTTGTTGTTGATTCAGCCACTCCTCTGGTTTCATTTGGAATTCAGTTTTCCTTATGCCCGCAGGCACGGCCTGTGTTCGTTTGTTTTGGTTTTCTATTAATTGCTGTATTTCCCTCCTGCACAGCAGGAAAACAGGATGAATCCCCACAGGATCTGGAGTAGCTGTGCATCTCAGGAGCAGGACCACAACGAGATTTTACGTTCCCATCACTGTGCTAGGGCCATGCTAGAGGCATCTGGGAGGAAAAACAAATCCATATGCTCTGGGCTCCTACTCTGGGAAGAAAGAAGGTGGTTACAGCCCATCCAAACACACTGAAGGTCAGAGCTTTAACTCCTTACCCACTTTCCTGTGCTCTCCTGGTGAGATACCAGCAGCTGCCCGTGCCTTTCAGTAAAGAAATTCCATTTATACACCCAGATAGTAGTTTTCCATGTTTTTCTTCTCCACAATGAGGAAAAACCCCAAGAGCTAGAACCATTTAAATATTTACCAGGGTGCGTGGGAATAGCAAATACTTCAAGAATATGATGTCAGAAATGCCTGAGCTGGGTGAAGGTGCAACGGGGTGAAATTCTCCAGCCTATGTTAGGGAAAAGGTCAGGAGAGAGGATTAAGAAGGACTCCTTCAGCATTAAATTATTTGTGATGAGAGTCAGGACAGCACTGTGCTTGTGAGAGTGAATTCACCCCCTGGTTAGGGTTCAGCTCCTGCAACTGCTGCTTCAGGAGAGCCCAGTAAATATAAATCCCCTTAATCTCCTGGAAAACGTGGAATTTACCCTGATAAAAACATCTCATAGGTGGTCTCACTTCTCCACATAATTTCAGT